ACCAGTTTTTTAAATTTATTTGCTTCTTCAAGGTATTTAGGTTCTTTGAAATAGCATACAATATTTTTTTATTTTTATAATTTTTACTATTTCAATATAACTATAATTATCTAATTGATATGCAAAAACAAATGCAACAGTTACCAGCCAAAAGCTGCAGTAACAGAAATAACGGGTTTCTCAGCACCATTTTTACACGTAAATTACAATATTTATAAAACAATAACTGTAAACTGCAAAATTTCACTTAAAAATCAATTTTGCTTAGAAGCTCAATAGAGCGCTGTGAGAGCGATGAAGTCGACTAAGTACTAAATACAATTAAAATGCGATCATGCCGGCGAGCGTTGCAGATCGGTTATTAGTACGATTAACTAAAGCAGCGGAGACTGCAATCAATTTATATACAGGAATCATAATAAAATAACACCAAGCCGGAGCTTGAGAGAACACACGCACACATACACGCAAGCGAAATGTGTTTGTGTGGGTTTGTTGCAGCCCTGCGGTTATTGAGTTTAACGGTTCCGGTAACCGAAAAGTATTTGTCTCAAGCCGAGTTTTGTCTCATCAGTTCACGCACACACACAGGCATACCCACACATATGCGCAAGTGAGTGCGCATAAGTGAAAGGTATGATGTATGTAATTTTGAGAATTTTTACCCTGACAACTTTTTGGCCAAACATTTTTCTGTTGTCAAAAAAAATCCGGTTCATTGCTATATAAAAAACTGTGACGCAAAAAATAACTAACTCACACTCTTTGTTGTTGTGATAAAATAAAATATTCATAGCTCAATAGGATTGATATGAGTCATCTTTTAAATCTCCTATAGAGCCCCGATATTACTTAGCCTAGTTTTAACGCAAATAAAAGTGGTTAATATTTTGGTGCTGCATATGGTGATTCTTCCCTTCGATGGCGACCATAAAAAGAAGAGGAGAATAAGGTGTCAAAATTCCACGTCTTCGTATTATTGAAGGTACGCGAGATAGCCTCTACGGAATTTATGTTATTATGGAAACTGTCCTACCGATCGGAAAATATTAGTATGAAGAAATAAAACAATTACTACACAACTTTCGGTTTTAACATGTATCATGTTTTAGCGCTGGGTATGCGGTAGGATTTTGCGCGGCGTGGAATTTTAGTTTTGGATAATATAGTATAGGATAAAAACAAACTGATTTTATTATCAATGGACAAAAAGCACTTTTAGTTTAAGTTTATTTTGCTCGCGTATCGTTACAAGACGTAAAAATATTTTTTGAAATAAATTTTATGGGATACAGCGCAAAAGCAATTTGAAGTTGTAATAGAAATGAAATTGTCGAATATTCCAATAATTCTGGGAGGTGACTTTAACGTTAATTTACAAAACGTAAAAGGGCAGGAATTTTTAGATTTTATGTTTGACACTTAAGGTTCGCAAATTAACAACAACACAACGTAAGCAACGAAAAAAAATAAAATATGACAGATTAGACAAATTCACAACTAAACGCTTTGTCTCTTATTTCTCACATCATCGTCCGTTAATAAGTGTAACAAATGACGAGAATGTAAAAATTGTACAACAATGGACGATGTAACGTAATATTAATATTTCTATAAATTGTATTATATATATATTATATGTATAAAATTGTTTTATTTAAGTAAAATTACAAAATAATTTATATAAATTATTTATATTTTATAACTTCAATTGCAAATTTATATCATTATCATTTTTATTATTATTATTATTATTATTATTATTATTATTATTATTATTATTATTATTATTATTATTATTATTATTATTATTATTATTATTATTATTATACCTAAACTTACCACTACAAACTTATTCAATCATTATTCCATATACGACAGGGCGAGCAGCAGCAGCGCAAGCGAAACTCTTGCAGCCGAACCGCGGACACATGTATTCGTTGTTCGTAATTTACTCGCGTACACATACGACATACATACTTTCCATTTCGATTCCCACAACAGCCAGTTCTACGTTACTGGAACTGACCCAGATTTTATTCGGCCAAAGACTGTTTTTTTTGAAGATCTAACCTGTTGTTGTTGTTGTTGTAGCGGCAGAATTCTGCCGAGTTGACAGTCCTTGGCCTTAATAAACCCGGGACCGTTCCGGTTACGTAGACCCGACTGTCGTGGGAACGGGAAGATCTAACCTCGTTTGGATCGTTAAGTAAAAAATCATATTTGACATACACACTTCTTCCGGAATTCTGAATTTACACAGTATGCTTAATACATACATAAGTGTGTTATACTTACTTACTTCCTTGTGTTCTTCATTTCTGGCTCCATTCAGAAGATGGAAAAAGTATTCTCACCATAAACTAAAAAGTGTGTTCTGGATGTTTAAAATCCTTGCTTATTGTCATGGATTAGTATTTTCAGCCTTGAATAAAAATGTATATAGTAATTTGGTGTAGATTATTTATATTCGAAACAAAACAAAAACTTTTTTCGGTTTGAGAGGGAAATAAATGTATAAATACATATATGTATATTTAATTTTTTTTTGAAATTTTACATAACATACCAATAATATTTAATGCATAGATAAGTAATTTACTTCTAACAACATATATTTACTCATTTCATTTGAGTTGGTTGAATTTATGTTGAATAATATAGTACTTCATACTAAATATTAAATGGTTTCCCATAAATTTTTTTTAAAGCAATTTTCATCGTATAATTTTGCATTTAGCAAACTAATAATACATAAAATACTAAAATTATTATTATTGTAAATGTATTTTACCATTGGCTTCGTACAAAACAACACACTATTTATTATATGAATGAATTTCTTCAACAAAATCAGTCCATTATAGCCACAAGCACGCAGTATAACTTCATCAAATCGCTCTGCATCTCATAATTCGGAGGAAAAGTAAATTTTCGGGTTTTGTCAGAATTCAACGTCGTCCCTGTCGAGGAAGTGCGCTTCGACATGTTGTTGGAATGCTTCCCACACAATTGAGGCATCATATTTTCGGCCACACATTGGACACACACGATCAGCGGCATCCATATTTTGTACTTTGTCATAGTAGGCATCAACTTCTAAGAAGGTTTCTTCTTCCTCCGCTTCATTAGAGCATGACAGCTCTTCTTCTTCTGCTTCGTTACAATTAGACCATGCATTGTTGCCTTTAGACACGTTGTTCTTATTTATATGCATTACTTCACTAAGGCTCTCATCAGTTTCTAGACTTTTGTCAGCCATTTCGGGTTTCTGTGATTTCTTCGCACAATCTGCGCACGGTTGCAGTGCTGCAAGTATATTTATATGTATGTACTGTTTCAAATCAAATTTTTTTCAACTTACCAATTCTAGTCTCGATAACAGTAAGTGCAGAATTAAGTTCTTGTTGTTGCTTGAGCGCCTCACGTTGCATTTCCTGCAAACCTTCCATGCACTTTTTAGCTACAGAAGTGAAGTCTGCCTCATCGACATTACTATCATCAACATTTAAATAGGCAAATCCCAAATCACCGTCTGCTGGTAGCACATAATCATTGTCTTCGACCACATCACATTTTTGTTCAAGCGCAACTTCCTCCATACTAAGTTCTTTACCATTCGGGATTAACTTATGACGTAAATTAGGATTTGGCGAATGTTGTGTAAATGTTTTGGAACGTATAAGATTTTGATTTGAACCGCTACCATTTCGTGGACTCGTTTGGTTATCATCTAGCTCATTGCCGGTGGTGTAATCTGGCTCATTTGTAGCACAGAGTTGTCCGGTTTTATCTTTGGCTATTTGTGACAGCCGCGACCATAGTTTTCGGTTTTCGTTTGAAACCATATTGATGTGTTCGCTTAATTGTTCTTTTTGGCGATTCAACTCCTCCACCCGCGTACGTAATTGCAGCAATTCGCCCGCTTCAGAATTGATACTGCCATTTATTGTTAATGTAGTGTTTGCTTGTTTACCTTGGTCAGAACGTGCACGTAGTTCTTCGTTGTCTTCTTCCAGCTCAGTTAATCGACGTTGAAGTGCAAGGCATCTTTCCTTCATAGTCTGCAGTGCAACTCGCAGTGCATATTCCGAAGCAAGTACATTACTAGAGTTTGGCTCAGATTCCATTGCTGCTTGTTGTTTGTATTTTTAGTGACGTCTATTTGACTTTCGGCTTTAAATGACCATTAGTAATTGAAAATTATAATTTAAACATATATTAAAATCTAAGTAAAATATAGAATATTAAATACAATAAGCAAATAGGTTTAAAAGAATTAGAGTGTGAGACAAAATGCACTAACTGTTATTCATTTTTGACACATATCATTGTCTTTATTTCGTTGTCTCCCCGATTCGTAATAAACAACTACTAAGGTGGTTTGTCAAACCTCAGGAATAAAAATATTTTATCAACGATAAAACCATTACAAAAAGTCACTAATTGATTAATTCTGCATCTGCTGTAATTCGTTGTTCTAAATTTGACTGTGAATGTTATATATGTTGGACATTTCTTGAAGTTCATAAGGGTATTAACATTTAATATGTAAATTGGTTTCGAAACTCTGAAAACCGAATCTAAACTAAAATCTTTCCTAATTACTTATATAATTAGGTCTGAAAGTTTAAATTCTATTGCTATTTATTGTCTTTAACAACTCTGTTAAACTAAGCTATCACCGACGTATTAAATAGTAAATGTCAAACCATGGTCAGCTGTTGATTGTTTGTTTGTGCAACTTTTAATATTAGTCAAATATGCTTTGCATAAATTATTTTAAACAAAATTTCTTCAAATATCGAAGAAAAATAAATGAAAGCTTTAATTTAATTCTCAGTCCAATAAGATGGAAATGTCAACAAACACAGTCAGCACAATTAATAAACAATTCCAAGTTGAAAGTGTTATTTTTTGGTACCGACACATTTTCATTACCCAGTCTGCATGCGCTACATAATAACTAGTATGATTTTAACATTAATTTTAAATAATGATTGCAATATAAAATTTTTTTATTAGTTATGCTAGAACAGAGAACAACGCACTTGGCGTAGTTACGTCTTTTAAAAATCCTGCAAATTGTGTTCGTACCTACGCAGAACAGAAGCAGCTGACACTTCATCGATGGCCGGTACTTCCGGAAGTTTGTCAAGGATATGATTTAGGTGTTGTAGTATCATTTGGTCATTTAATACCAGAGAGGATTATTAAATCTTTTCCAAAGTAAGTGATTAAAAAATTATTTATAAATGTGAATATTTCTTTGTAGCTTTGTTTTGTTTTCCAGTAGACTTAAGACTATTCAAACAAAAAGTTATGAAATAAAATTATTTAGTAAAATTATAACTTTCTTTAATTTTCAGTGGTATGATTAATGTACATGCTAGTTTATTACCTCGTTGGCGTGGTGCTGCGCCCATTATCTATGCTATAATGCAAGCAGATGCGCAGACTGGAGTATCTATTATGAAAATAGAACCGAAACATTTTGATGTCGGAGATGTAAGTTTTTCATAGTTGTTAATACAGCTGACGCAAATTTCTAAGTCGCAAACTTTTTTCATAAGGTGTTGGCACAACGTGAAGTAACAATTAGAGCGGATATTCTTATGCCGGAACTTCATGCTCAACTTGCACAGGAAGGAGCTAACTTGCTTGTTAATACTTTAAATAATTTCTCAAGCCGTTTAGAATCTGCAACAAAGCAAAATAATGAGCTTGCTACCTTTGGTAATATTTCAATATTATTTTGAAACTTTCTATTAATGTCAAATACTTTTTTCATATAGCACCCAAAATAACAACAGCCATTACTAATGTGAATTGGTCTCAATTGAGTGCAGAACAGATACATCGCAGGTTTCGTGCACTTTTTGGCTTTAAGCATTTAAATACGAGATTTCAGAATAAAAATATTCAATTGATCGATGTTAAACAGCCTGCTGTACAAGAGCTCCTTCTCCCTTTGGATAATATGGAGTGCGGCTCGTTTTTGTACGATCGAAATAAACGTCTGCTTTTAGTCCGTTGCGCCGACAACACATATTTGGAAGTACATCAACTACGTGTCGAAGGCAAAAAAGTAATGACTGCAACGGACTTTAGTAATGGATTCCTCAAACAAATAAACTCCACTAAAGTACATTCGTTCACAAGTAAATAAAGTTCATTTGACGGATGTACAAATATTTATTACTTTAACAATTTTGACGATAATAGGTTTTATTTTTATTTTTATTTTTAAACTCTCGCAACATGTTGCTACAGAGTATAATATTTTTGTTTATTATAAAAATGTGCGCAATTCAGCCCAAATTCGAGGGCTTAACTTCCTTTGTATCTGCCGGCTGCGCTGTAGTCTTCTGCATTAGATTTTTGCTAAACCAAACAGGACGTGGTTTCTCCATTTCCACTACGCGCACTTTTCGTTCGTTGCTTCCATTTTCAACTTTCTCGATTTGTTCCCCTTGATACAGGACCACGACTTCATGTTCAATTGGCTCCAGTCCCAACTTTTGCTCAATTTTTTCTTGCATTAAACGAGTTTCCTGCTCCACTTTTTTGTAACAGTGAGCTAAAAATTAAATATTCTATATACATATATTTCCTACATAATATTAAAAATAATTTTAACATACGACATAGTACACCCAATTCGTGATCATGACCACATTGATTACAGGAGCGCAAGTTGGTTTTAGCAACCAATGGCTTCCAATTATATCCAGGCAAACCAAATTTTCGATTTAGGCGTTTTTCAATGGTACGACGATGCTTCGGCACAGCCCACAAAATGCCGTCACCTAACAGATTTTTTAGGCTAAATCTATCAGATTTCCTAATATCTGGTGCATTCAACCCAACACTAGGCATGCCGGCCAAAGCTAATTCCACTGTATAAGAAAAACATGAACATGATTAAATAACCAACAATTTGCTTTTTTCAATTGTATATACTTGGTGGTTGACCCCGGTGTCCGAAAAAAATAAACCTTTCAAGACGATTCAGGAACGAATTTAGACTTTGATAGATATTTCGCGACATTTTTATTGTTAATTTTTATTTTAAGAAAAGATACAAAAAATTTCAAAGAAATTCAAGCAGTAAATGAATAATTGAGTGACAGCACAATCAGCTGTTTTGTATTTTTTTGCATGCTGCGATTTGACAGTAATGACCAAGTAGAAATCGAGCAAAGTTATGAATAATTCGCTAACAACTTCTATTATGTGCATTTTTGAGTTAAAAACGGTTTTTAACAACTTACACAGACAATAACGTTATTAATTAAATTTATGAATACATGAACCGATTTTAGATAAACCATCATTTGAAATTGTTATATAAAATAAAGGAAAAGCTGCAAATTACGAGAATTATTGAAAATATATCAATGTTTATATACTGTAAATGATGATCATATTTGTAAGTTTATACCTCATTAACATTTCTTCTTCACTCTACATGTAGATGGCGCTCCTAAGAACTACGATGGATGGCAACGTCAATCAGCTGTTCTTACAGATGTTTAGCATATTGTGAAAGTAGCATAAAAAAAAACATCCAAGTTACGTCAAATCAATTTCTAATTCACTTTTTAAACTAGTTAAATAATCAAAAAGAAAATTTAACAAAAAGTTGTTTAAAGTGGCAGTGTTCAGCTGTTGATGTTGTTAATAGATGAATTGTGTGTGTTATTTGCAAGGTGCTTCTGTGAAGATTGATGGTTTGAATGCATGACCAAAACAGTAATAGCTGAACGATAACTTTATCGCTGCATGCTAAGCCGGTGCAAAGTTTATAAGGACTCATACTTGTTGAATGCGGCAGTAGCTTCGTGCAAATTAGAGCCAGGCTTAAAATAGTTGTGTTCAAATGGAGCGCTAGAAATTCAACACGACGTGCACGGTTAAAGCGCACTACTACATATGCAGTTCCGTGTACGAAACGTTTTTCTAGCACACATATATTCACCACAGCGCAGCCGTAACCATCGTCGAAACGTAACTCAGCGAGCCAAGTGAACGAGTTTCCACTGTCGCTGCAGTCATTTCTTAAGCTCTCTTAAAGTCTGCTTGAATACTTGGCTGCTGCCACATTGTAATAACCTGCGTAAGCCACTATCGTTGACAGCGACAACAGACACTTTGTTGGAGCTGCTGGAGTCAGACGTAAGTTATCGTCGTTCCGTGGCCGTCTTTGCCGTTCTTCAGTTACTAAATCAAATTAAATTAATATAACGTCGTTTTGAATTAACTTAACCAGCGTTGTGTGTGTCCAGTCAATTAAATACCTGTGAAATATATTCTAATAGTGAGCTTCAATGTTAAATTGAAAATCATATTATTAAAAAATATTAAGCTTGGCTTAAAAACAACGAAAACCAAAGCGAGTGACATGTTTTCTCTTAAGAATATTTAAAGATATATATACATAATACTGAAGTAGATAATATATACAGGACCTATCGGGTGTTTCAGTATCATATCCAAAAATTACATATATATTGAAACAACAAAGTGTAAATCAATGAAGTAAAAAATCTTATTTCATAAACCCCTTGAACCAACACAAAGTTTGTAATCAACAGTAATACAAAAGTATAATATTAAAAAAACGCATACGAGAGTGTTTTCAAAAGTGCTTATTTCAAAATCAAAAATTGTTTTTAGTTTATCAGTTAATTTTCTAAAAAATAAAATAATATGGCCTGTTTAAGCACTTCCGGTCGTAAAGGACTTCACGTAGTCGTCGGTACACGGAACCATCAAACGCAAAAACATCTCTGTCAATTGTTTTGGCAACAAAAAATTAACAGATCCTTTTGCTCAAATGCAGTGGCTGCTGCGCTACTATGCAAAAATAAAGCGAACAACATGTCCTCGCTTTTACCACAACGTAACTTCCACGGAGTGGGTATATTATTGCAACGTAACACGGCCATAACAACAGGACATGATTATTTTGTCAATATGGTAAGTTGTAATTAAAAAAAGATTGCGCCTTGTATATTTGTATTTAAAATATTTATAATGTTTTTTAAATTAATGAGTTTTTCAAGACGAATAAGTACTTAGACTTCTAAAGTGTGTACTGCTTTACTCATATATTAAAAACCAAAAAGTTATTTTCGGATTTATATTTTCTATTATCTGCTTTCCTTTTGAATAAATAACTAGTAGTTTTTTTTATCGCTACGACTTTCCATTATGTGGTCTGTCTGCAGCCAAGGAATTTCGTATTTACTTCAATCACAACATTGTAAAACCCAATATTGTAGATCTATAAACTAATATATTTAATTGTTTTTAATTCCACCAGTTATAAGTCTCAATGTCGGCATTCATTTGTAAGACGGCACAACAGCCAGTGCGAGAAGTCGTTAATCCATTTTGATTATTACCTTTTAGAGAGTATTGCTACCACATGCTGCCGATTTTTTGCGGTCATTTGAAGTTTGTGATTTAAAATCCTATATAGAGTAGCAGGTATCATGTATTACGTCGACTGCGCGCGTTGGCAACTAGTGTAGCCATTTGATTCCTACAAATGTACATAGAAATATATATATTTGTACATTAGTTAGTTGGAGCTTTTGTTGTTGTTGGTATTGTTGCATTTGTCATCATTATCAACGGCTCGTGTGCATCAACAACATTATCATCCTTAATATTGTGTGCGATGACGTCGCTTTGCATTGCTTCCTCATCGGCAAAGTGCATTGGCTGCGGTTGGGAAGTTGTTTACTGTGCTTGCGCTGCGGTTGCTGCGCTGGTGCGGTAGTAACTTGCAGCATTATGTATACAAACATAGTTTGCACCACCACCACCACACACTGTGCGCAAAATTTGCTGCAAACGAAAGTGAAATTAATGCACTCGCCTGTCGCTTTCTGGCTTTAAGTTGGCAACGTTTTTTTTTATATTTTTTTTTGTACATTTCATTTTGTCTTGGTTTATTTTATCGTTTCTTCATTTATTGCTGTTGGCAGTTATTTCATTTGCTTTGGCATCTTTCTTTGCCGCAAACTTCGCTTTCGTTGGCCATGATAGTTTGGCTGACGGTTGTTGTTAATTCATGCGTTTGCCTGGTGTTTTCTGGTTTGTTTGTGCATTAAGCGTAAAAGTGTGGACATGAAGTGGCGCTGTTGGTAAGAAAGTATAGATATACTTGTACATATGTACATTTGTATGCCAGTGTTTGCGTGTGAATGGAGCAAAGAAAAGCAATGCACTGTTTGTTGTTGTCTACCAATGATCGTGTTGATGATGAAAACGGTGATAATGACGTGAGAAAAGTCGTTGGCCAAATGTGAGACAGGTGTGTTTGCGGCTTCCACTTATCGTTGGTTTTACACATACACTTTTGAATTTTTTACTATATGCTTAAAACAAATGTTATGCCAAATATAAAATAGCTAAAATTTGTCAAACATTTAGATATTTAAACATTTTTATATATTAATATTATTATAATATTTTATATTAAGTTATATGCGGTGCATGAATTAATTTTTGCACCTATACATACATATCTACCTCCAACTTTACAGTTGTGCCACTCTAGTTCTGACATTATTAGCTCTTAGTGAAGTGTACTATGTATATTTAAATGTTATTAACTGCACTTCGTTTCTCACTTTTTTGTAATTTAAATTTTTAAAATTAAAATGTACCACATGCTTCCATTTCTTACTCTACTTTCTGTTTTTTCACTACTCTTGTCAACAGCTGATTTTTGTTTTGGTGCATGGATTCTTGTTCTACTTGTTTACCATTAGGTCTGCAAACAATTGAGAGTGCGCCTGGCGAGAGAGCGTGTCTTAGAAAGCATGCGCGTTTGTGTTGTTGTTTATAGTGCAATATTGCACTTGAAGCTTTGCTTACATTGTTGCTAATACAGTGATGCTCAAACAGTGCGATGCTAGTATAAAAACTTTTATGCTGCATTTTTCGTTGTTTAAATAATACAACAGTTACATAAATATTGTTTGAAAAATAAAAATGAATTATTCTTATTTATTTATTAATATTTATGCATATGTAAATACATACATATATATGTATGTATATGTTATGTACATATATACATCCAAGTATACTTGCTTAAAGTTATAGAGCTGAAGTAATCATAAAATTAAAAAAAACAAAAATTGAACACATAAAAAATTAAAAATGCATTGGACATAAAATCCGAAATTATAACATTTATATAACTTATAGAAGTATTGCAATTACAATGAAGCATTATTAGTAAATGTTGAGGCCAATAAGAAGTACGGCAATAAATTCAAAAGCGCTTTCATAACGCATTTGTATGTATGTGTCGAGGGTGCTGCCAATATACATGCGCAAATGTATTTGTACGATTTTTTTTGTATAGCGCGTAGTGTGTCTGGCAGGTGTGTGCGCGCATGCGCATAGAAATTGGCATATCTCGTAGCGATTGATGAATTTTCGCTTTCAAAGAATTACACCTATATATGTATGTACATATACATACATATGTATGTATGTATGCATATGTCTTAATGTACACAAATATCTATGTACAAAACCTCCTCGCATGCTCGTTAAAAAGGAAAAGAAATTTCAGTGATCAAACTAAATTCGTCTATAAAAAAATCAAAAAACAGATAATAAAAGCGTAAATAAGCGCAAATAGAAAGTGCTGGCTGCACAAACAACAACAAATTTGGTTATTTATTCACTGCCAATAAAAGAACGATGTAACTTAAAAGACAGTCAGTCGTTAGCAAATTAAATAATTTTGTCATTCAAAGTAATGAATCAATGGCCTTCAATGGCTGAACCTTTATGCAATTACTATTTCTCCACTTTGGCAACAGCACACTTTACAAAATTGATTTCACTAATCGCAGTATTGCGTTAAGTGCCACTGAAATACAATACATTAATGCTAGGCTACTTTGAGCGGAAAAATAATAAATTTTTTTTTACTAATTTTTACCTTGCAATTTTTGTTTACTATTTGCTTTGCCTATTTTGGTTGTTTTATACCCTAAATAGGGTGTATTAAGTTTGCTACGAAGATTCTCAAACAGACGGTTTGTCTGTCTGTATATACGCGAACGTGTCCCACAGTTTTTGAGATATCGCATTGAAAGTTTGCACAAGTCCTTTTCTCCCTAAGAAAGTGCTCATGTGTTGGAACCGTCGATATCGATCCACTATAGCATATAGCTGGTATACAAACTGAACGATCAAAATCAAATTCTTTTCACGAAATTTGGTAAGAATTATTGTCCAAAGCTATGTGTGCAATCTCCGAATAAATTGTTTAGATCAGACCACTATAGCATATAGCTGCCATACAAACTGACCGAATCAAGTTCTAGTAGATGCTCTACTATTTGTATTTGTGAAGGGTATTCCATTGGTATTGGTGCAACCGAAGTAAATGTTAATTTTTTTTTTTTTTTTGTAATATTTGTGCCGATTTCTTTGCCATCTTCTTTCCATAGCTTTCGATTTTTTCTAAAGTTTAGCTTATGTATTTGTTGCGCCCCACTAAAGGCTGGCGAAAATGTGAAAAATAGATATGTATGTATGTAAGTCAGTCTGAAAAGCAAAAAAAAAAAAAAAATTACAACAACTAAATTTAGTTCATATTAACAGTTATGTGTGAATTGAATTCCTCAACGATTTGTATGCTTATATCGCCAGCTACTGCGCTTGTATTTATGCTTGTGATCTATTTGTGTTTTCTAACCGCTTTTGCTGCTGTTTCCATAGCGTTTCTGTAATAAACGCTTCTCCAAACATTTGGCTGTACATTTTTAATGCGTCTTACTAGGCGCGATGGGGCCAAACTCTCTATTGCACACATTTAAAACAATGCATATGTGTATGTAGTATTTGTGCATATATAATATACATAGTTGTACATATAAACATAAGACATACCTTTGCGCTGACTATTTATGCGTTTGATTTATTAAAAAAATGAAAGTGCTTCGCTTTTGTGTTACCTGCGCATGCGTATGTGTATGTTTGCTGCTTTTTTCTATTAAATCTTACTTACAAACGACTTTTGTGTCGCTGACTGTTGGCTATTGTGACCGACATTGCAAGCCACGCATATTTTATTTATATATATATGTATGTATTGCTGTGCGCATGTGTAACTTGCGGTTGACATCATTTATATTATAAATTCAAATTAATTTTTTTTGTTGTTGTACCGTTTTAGGTGTTAACACTTTACTAATTACATATGTATTTGAGCTTACAAGTAGATGTATGTGTATACTATTTGTTTGCAGTGGGGTTCATTGAGGTGTCCATATCATCATCAGTTAGTGAAGTTGTCAAGTTGTAATCTATCGTGTAGACATACATATGTTGCTATTGTTGTCGTTGTTCTTATAAATCATTCAGTTCAAATGTTAATGGTGTTTGTAGTTATCCGACAACTGTTCCGTCATAATATAACATTTTAATGCATATATATATATTAGATTTCTCATTTTAATATAGGCAAATGCAATGCATATAGTTTATATACATATATAAATGAAATGCATACATCTGTTAGTATTACAAGATTTTTCAACTTTTTGAACTGTGAAGTTACTTAAATGAATTGTTCATGGCTTCAGTTACAACACTTTGTGGAACTTATAATAGTATGTGTATGGCTGTATAAGGTTAATTAGATAATTATTTGGCTATTATAATGAAATCTATTGCACAAAATTTAAATCTAGATTCGCTAATATTGTTGCCCTTCCTAGTTTTTTCAAAATATCTGCACTTTAGAATATCATTTCGCAGAAGCAAACGTTGCGAGACCCCAATAAAATATATATATACCATATATAAATAACGATCTGAGTCGATTTAACTGTGTCCGTCAGTCTGTCTGTCTGTTTGTATATACGCGAACTAGTCCCTCAGTTTTTGAGATATTAATCTGAAATTTTGCACACGGTCTTTTCTTAACTAGAAACTGCTCATTTCACGGAACTGCCGTTATTGGACCACTGAAGCATACAAACTGATCGACCAAAATTAAGTCCTTCTATGGAAAACGAGATATTCTAACGAAATTTATACCATACAAACTAACCGATCAATTTTTTATTTGAGAAAGGTTTTATAGCCTCGTTGCAAGCGAAGTTAACGTTTTTTCTTGTTTAATTATATATGAGATTATTAAGCGGAACCATTAGTTTCCCGATTATATAATATTTGCAAGCATTATCTGTGCTGTCTCATAGCAGCGCTCAGTGAAAGGGCCATTTCCGAACATACCACAACATAGGTGTAGGCAAAATGTAATAGTAATTAAATTAGTGAAATCCAAAGTGGTTTAAATTTATTAAATATCATAATGTAACATGTCATGATTGATATTCAAACTACAAATAACTTTTCCACTTTAAACACTTTTCCACTGAGTGCAATTATCACTGGTGGAGTGGCTGAATTTGTACCCACAAATTGTTTCACTACTACTAGAATATACTACTTTAACAATAAATTAAATATTAAATTAAAATAGAATTAAATAACGTTTGTTTACATTTCTTATATGTCAGTTGGCACCTCTCAAGCAGATGTCTACCAACGTATCGTTCATTTGAATGACATGCTTGTAGTTTTAGAGCCAAGGCAATGCTTGCCAAATTTTTGTATAGAAAATCATAAATAAAGCGCTAGTTGATAATGGTATACTGCAAAAAAAAAAAAATTATAAAAATTAGTTTTTCATACAACAATATCAACAAATCTCCGACAACTTTCAACTTTCACACGAATATCAATGCAACCTACACTTGACATAGTGTGAATCAACCAAAAATGTAATAGAAATGTCTGTAAATAATAAACATAATAATAAAAACTCAAGTGATATTAAATTATAATCGACTTTTCAAGGCGAACACCGCGCACTTGCAAAACTCAACACGTTTTGGCTGTAATTGGTATGAAAAAAACAAATAAGTGATGCTAATAGCTGTAATCTGCAGCGAATGCCTCCAAAATATTGGGTGTTTTGCGTGTGCTCCAATGGTTGTAATCATGCAATAATAGCGGAGCTTCAAGTGCACAAAAGATTAGACGTCAAGTGTGAATCACTTTGCAGAGTAACGGCTTGAAGAAATGCAAACAAAAATTCATCTATATTTGCAAACGATCGCGTATAATTGAAATGAAAAGTGAGCTAAAAGCCCGCCGAAGACACGAAAACAGTTTACAGGTGTCAAAAGCCAGCTGTGAAGTAGGCCTCGATGAGCTGAGTGTGTGCTCGTATGCTGCGGAATACGATGGGAATTCGGTTAAAAAGTATTGATGATAATGATATTGAAATCTTGCGAACTCGTACGCATGCAACGTATATTATATGTGTATATACATAGACACCGTATCTCTTTGTGGCTTCAACAGAAATGCTTGTGAATGAATGTCTCGGGATCAAGCTGCTTTCATGAAATTTGTATGCTGGCATGAGCGTGATATTTATATAGAATGTACATACTTTATATACATGCATGTATATATGTATTATTTACATAGCATGTATATATATATTGTATCATATCTTTGCTTATGACCATAGAGTTCAAGTGGACGCTGCCAAAATTGAAGCAAAAATAACAACAAATTATAACAACATAAATAAAGCAAACAAAAAAGTCAACCACAATGTTATAATACAAACACTTGTATGCAACAAAGTGCGGCATAATCCGTAAACGTCTACAATTAGTTGCTGATAGCGTTTGCAATTGGCAATGAACGGAATGACGAGTGCTTGGAACGTGTAGTCATTTTTATGTTTGCACCATTTATGTACATACCTACGTATATACACAAATAAGTATATATGTACATATGCGCAAATCACATATGTATTCATATACATATCTACATACATATGCATATGTATGTCTACAAAATTCGCGAATATTATTGAGCAAGGTTGTGCAGGTGTGTGTTGTTGTAAATAATTACTGTTTGGCCGAAGTAAAATTATGGCATATTGTAACTGTGATACTTGTAAGTACCTGAGATGATTTAAAAAAATTTTGAAAGTGCCGAAAATGTTGACTTGGTAATAAAAAAAAATTAAAATTAAATATTTAAAAAAAACTCAATATTAATTAAAAAATTTAAAAAATGCAAACAAACTTTTTTCTTTCAAATAAAATAAAAAGCTAAAAAAAAGATGAAATTTTGATGAAATCTAAAATATTAAAGAATTTAAGCAATAAAGCAATAAAAAAATTCAGCAACCGCGGCACCTATTTTTTTAAAATTTTTTAAGTAAAAAAAAGCTTAAAGAAAACAAATTGCTAGAGTATAAAAATGTTTTTACTTGTAAAATAAATTTAAAAAATAAAAATAAATTTAAAAATATTATATATTAAATAAAATTTAGGAAATTAAAACAATAAAGTTAGCGTAAATATTGTAAATAGTTAGCTTTCAGCATTTTTTGCTTAAATGACAAATAAATAAATTAATTAAAAGGAATAAGATAGTTAAAACAATAAAGGGAAAAAATAAAAACTAATTTTTTTTAATTAAAAAAGCTTAAACATTAAAAAAAGTTTCTTTAAATCAAAAAAAATTTTATAAATCTAAAATTGATACACAAAAAATAAATTGTTAAAAAATAAAACTTTAAGGTCAGCGTAGGGTTTTCGTTTTTAATTTTAAGTAAAAAAAAAATAGGACAGTAAAGTAAGCGTTGAAAAAAAACCGAGTACCGAAGGTATTGTAGAAAATATTTGAAAAAATTAAATTCGATTCCATTGCGCATGCATAAATGCGCTCATTGCACACTTTCCTTAAGTGCATTATTAATAAATTAAAATCAATTGCAGGTTTCAGCTTTTTTTTCAGTAGCTAAACGTGACGCGCTTGCCTGAATATCAAATCGAACCGGAACCGCTGCACACCATTTTCGACACGACACTCACACACACACACACATGCTGCCATTCAACACAATTTAAATAACTATACAACAAACAAACGCTGGCCAGTCTCAAGTATTTGAAAAAGCTTATACATACCAAGCTATTTGATATGTGCATGTGTGTGTTTCTTTCTCATTTCTTCGCCGGTTGCTGACTGCTGCTTTCACGCTACTCCACAACGCAACAGCCGTGCGCCAGTGCCGAGTGCCAAAGAAAAAGCGAAAAATTAATAAATAATAAAAATTGAAACACATACAAATATACAGACAAATCAAACAGTGCTGCCATACGCGCACAATACGACGCACGTACGACGCATTACAATGCGCGCCGAATAAAGTCTATTTTGTTGGACGCAGTTGCTGGTTAAAGCTCCCGCCGCTTGCCGCTTGCCACTTTCATTCTGATATCGCGCGCTTGTCGGTATTTTTCGGAAGACTTTCGGTTGCCAAAAAATCAATCTAAAGCGTGTTTACATATTTTCGACACCACATGCAGTGGCCGCTAAATTTCAGTTAGTCAAATATCTAACTAGCTTCCTAGCGCTGCCAGCTTTCCGAGCGATTCGCGCTGTCGGCGGCGTTGTCATCGCGCTCGTTTCGTAGCGCTTGGCACAAAGCGCGAAGCTCTCACTCATTGTTAGAAATTTCCACACAAAAAACGAAGAAGAAAGGCATGCTCAGTAGTGGTCTTCCTACCACACCACCAACCACTTGACCACACAAGCCGCGCCAAGCTCAACTCTGTTCTGCTCAGTTTGCCGCACGCCGCATCGCTCTTGGCTTCGTCTTTATCAGCACGCTGGTGTTGGCAGCGGTAGCTGCGACATTGCCAGCGACATTGGCTGCGTCCACAATCACCACCACCACCGAATGTGGATGAGTCTTACTTTCCCTTTTTGCTGACATAACAATCGAGCGCTATTTCATTTTAGCTTTTATTTCGGCGTTAGCTGTTGTTGTTTTATTATATTTTAACGCTATTGCTGCTATTGATGGCTCGCTGCTTGTATTTGTGGCTTCTTAACTGTAACTATTTTTGTTGTTTTTTTAATAAAATTTTCTTTACTTTTTTGTGTCAGTTTTTGGTGTTTTACGTCAAGCAACTGTCCAACTGTCGCTTGAATGTAAGTAGAAGAAAACGGCACGTAAATACCGTTGCGCGCATAGCTTTGGCACGTTCGACAATTTCAATTTTAATTTGGCTTCGAACGCGCCAAAAATCCACTTGATTTGCGAAAAATATTATTTTTTTTTTTTTTTTTGGTTTTTTCCACTGCTTTCGTACTTATTCATGCAATCTGCATACTGGCATTTAATACCTATTTACCTCGATGTGTATGTATGCATGTGGTTATGCCTCCAAATCACTTTAATCGCTTTAATTTAATTTTGTATGCACGTGGTTACGCATTTCAACATTTTCAACAGCAAAAATAAAAATATATTCAAACCAATATATATGTACAAACTACATACATACATATGTACATACCATATTTGTTAATGTAAATAATCTGAAATTTAAATATATACTTGTATGTACATACTTACTAACTTATATATGCAATTTTTTTTTTTGTAATAATGGTTTCCGTTGTGTAGTGTCGTTAATTGCGGTTTTAATTGACTTAATTTGTTTGAATTTTTGGTTATTGAAACCTAATTTTATTAATGATGTTATATTATATTAGTAGTACTTGCAAGAAGGGAGTGTTAAGGGGGTTATTTATTGGTATACATATGTGATCAAATTTGACCCGGGCTGACCAAAAAACTACATTTTCTCGTATTTAAAAAAAATATTTAGTATTGCCCTCGAAAAAAAAGGCTTCTTTTGAGCCAATACAAGCATGCAGAAAGTTAATCCAATTTTTCATACACTTGCTATAAGCCTCGGCTGGGATGACATTCAGTGCTTTCAGCGAATTTCGGTGTTTCGGCTAATTTTTGGAGCGCCATGCGCTGAATTGTTGAACAGTTTCGACTTCATTATCATAAACCCATGCCTCGTCACCAGTAATGATGCGTTTCTTTAATGTAGGGTTGTTGTTGTGGTAGTGTCGGCAGAAAACCTTTCTCTGAGTTAACACTCCTCGGCCGGATAAAAACTCGACTGTCGTGGGAACGCTGAACTTGACAGACTTCGGTTTTTTTGCTTGGGTTCATTAAATGCCAAGTTCCTGCTCTGCTTTTTCTTAGGCTAAAATATTATTTTCGATTTCTTGAAATCGTGATGGAATGACACTTTTAGGATCCTACAAGATCTAAACTGCTGATGAATTTTATGATAAGATTGATAAGAATTAGAGATTACCACAATTTTGGATTTTTTTTTTTTGTTGGAGTGCGATAGATAGTTCGTGACGTCATAAGCTTAAGCTGGAAAAAGTTTTATTCACATTTATGGTATTAAGACTGTTTGACAGTTCGTTTCGCTTATGACGTTTTGTGACGTAATCTTGTTTATATCATTCTTGAAACGATCTCATATTTGGGTAAAGCATTTTACTTTCGGATCTTTTCTTGTTTCCAAAATAACTCTAACATAACTAACGTAAAAAGTATTGAATTGCCTATAGGTTCTTTAACTGTAATTTCCTAAGTTAATTTTAAAACTTATTTTCGAGTATCAAAATTTTTCAATATGGAAGTATGGCATGCTTAATGAAAAATCAATAAAAAACGAAATAACAACATTTTACAATAAAATTTACAATAAAATAATACTTAATAATAAACCTTTATGTCATAAACACATTTTTGTCCATTGCATTTAGTTACATAACCTAACTCTTCTGATATAACCAAAATTCAACCAACACATTATATCACTAACAAGTTTTTGCTTAGATATCTTTGTATATGCCAACTTTATGGCCTATTTAGGTTAAAAATTTGAACTTGAATTTGTCGCCATAAAAATGTAGATATCCAATCAATTTACAGCTCTGCATTAAATACCTTCAAATGGTAGTATGGTATATATATGTATATACATTTTATATATATATATAATATTTACATATTAAAAATCCAATCCAGCAAATGGCATATTGATTTCGCTTTCAAATATTTAATGATACCCGCTAAAGCGTCAACACACCCAAGTTTACAAAATTTATTTGCATAATATTTAGTGTGTTTAAATTTAAAATCACAAAATTCTCTTTATCGAAATCTTAAGTTAGCAACTTAACTGCTTCGGTTTGTGCTTAGGCGCACGCAGCACATTCATATGTATGTATGTATATTTTGTTAGTTAGCTAAGTTATAGTTAAGCTAGTTTCTATGTAAATATTGAGACTTAATCACACACCATGGCAGTTGAATTCTGATTTTTTGGCGGTTTTTAAAGTCAATAAGGGTGTGTAGTTTATGATGTTTTTGGTGTAGCGAAGTGTATAATAATTTCGAAATTTCGGGATTTCAAAATTATTAATTGGGGATCCCGAAGTTTTTTAATATAATTTTTATAAGTGTTCACCTACAACAAATTATTGTATATAAATGAAAAACTATCAATGTACAAAGAAAATTCGGCCTTAGACGCTGTACATATTGTTGTGTGCTTTAGTTTCCATCAAGACAAAAAAAAAGTAGAAGAAGTGAGATTTTCTGGTTTAAGCACTTCGATATCGTATTTTATGGTATCCATCAGTTCAAAGAACATAGAAAGTATAACAAAAAACATCGTCGCTTACAAAATAAACATA